GGGATGAGATTTGGATATACTGTCACCGTGGATCCTTGAAACTTTGGGGGATAAATAGGGATAAAATAGCCACTAAGGGTTCTCTTATCAAGCAATTGTCCCTTTTTCAATTGGCTTAAAGGGAGAGAGATAAGACTAAGGATTAGTCTATTGATTTAAGTAATTATTGCTGTGCTCTTTCATAATTTTTTCTTAGATTGGACTGAAGGCAGTGCGAATGCAAACTTGAGGTTTAGTCAAAGATAAGACTGAAAAAAGAGTTGTCAGAGACAAAAAATCAAACACATAAATCATTTTCTCTTGGAAAGATGATTTGCAACAAGGTGTTAGCTCATTGCTCGTGTTCACATTATGCAATCAAGAATCCTTACCTTGATGCATGTTGGTTATGGTGGTCTTACAAATAGTGAGTCTTAGGATGGATAGCGGTGAAGCGCTAAACCATTTTGTCTAGGCTTGCTATTAGAAGACTGGAGTTACAATGCTTAATTCTTTTCCAGGAACTTTGCTATTGCTCCTTGAGTAGCTTGGTGTTAGATTAGTTTTGAGTTTGGTTAGAAAAAAAGTGGCATGAGCTTGTTTGTGTTGTGAACAAAAGTTAGTGGTGTTAGGTGTTGTAAGTCTCTATCGGTAGAGTGTGGCATTTGTGTTACATTTTGTCAAATCGAGTTGGCATTTGATGCTCACATAAACCTTTGAAGTAATGAGATGAGTGTTGCTCGTAGTGTTGCTTGATGATCAAGTCATTGTGATTTTATATCATATCCATGTGATAATGAGTAATGTGTTGACGAAGTTGCTTGGTTAAATGATAATCAACCCCAAAGTGGTTGATGGTGAAGCTAGTCTACTTATACGAAGTAGCATTGTAGTAACTTTGATTGGATTCTCAATGGTGGTTCATTATGCTAAGCTTATGTTGGTACCCTATTTCTTAGGGAATTTACCCATAAGGTGTTGGAAAGGGTTATAGCATTCACTTGTTATGGCTTGTCAGTTGATCTATTAGCACTTGAAGTAGATTATTGGATGGAGAAGGTGTGTAGTTGAGGCATTGACATTGCTAGCACTTGTGTTAGTGGAAGTGGCATTGTTATTTCGAGTGATGAGGAATTTTTCCTTAAAATTTAATTTTCCATGTCATTTTTCTTGTTAGTATTTTGGCTTAACATTGGATCTTGAAGGTGAAGAAAAGTGTTAGTGCAATATGGATATCCAAAGATATGGTCTTCGTGATCAAGCCTTGGATGTTCACTTTGTATTTTGCAGATGTTGGTGTTGGATGTCGGTTATATGGGTAAAGATGTTCGATGTTTAAGCATGCTATTGGGTCATAAGAATCTGTGTTGAGGTGAATATATATGAAGTTGTTGGTAGGAGGAAGTTGGTTGAGTCTTGAAAGTTTGTATTCCTAGACTAAGAGTCATTCTTTCTCTAGGATAGAAAATTTTCCACAAATTTTCTTCAAACTAGTGAAGGGGTTCAAGTTGACTTTGGTTGGCTTAAACCTTAGTAGGCAGTTTGTATGATGCAACCCGAAAGAGATGCTGATTTTTGGGGCTAACGCAATTGAGTTGGATAAAGTCTAGAGTTGGTGTAGAAAAGTGGCCGTTGCGCTTTTCTAAGAAAGGTGACCTTTGTGTTTTTCTTCTATAGCGTTGTGCTTGGTGGCAGGTTGCACCTTGCATTTCGTTATACTCTATGAGAGTAGTGAGATCTCACTGATCTTAATTTTTTAATTCTGACAAACCTGACATTTACTAGCTAGAAAGCATAGAGTACAAATTTAAAGAAGTGACAAGAATACTCCTTTTGCAAATATTTTATTTTATGTTCTAACAAATGTCCCTATCATTGCATGTAGTAAATATTTAAATTATTAGAACAAGAAGTGTTTTTTAGAACATTTTTATCTATATAATATATAGAGAGTTATTAAATTATTAGGTTCACCATAAACTTAAAATTTTAAAGTTTATAATGTTTATACTAAATTTAAAATTGAAAATTGAAAATTGAGCTCAACTCGTGAGATCAAGTATGGTCCACGCCCAATGGAGCATCATTCTATATGAGTTAGGAATATTACAATTGATTTTCCTTCCAAGAGTGGGAGTTGCCCTTAGGTAGCCTCTCTAACAGCACTCGAATCCATGCTCACTCCCACCCAAGGCCATTAACCCCCAATCTTAACCTCAACTCAGTTGAAAACACTATTGGAGAGTTCCTTCAAGACTAGGTCTTAAACCTCATTATCTCTACTATATTTTTGGAACCTTCTACAACCAATCCCCCACCCCCCTTGAGAAACGATCATTTTGGGCTTTTACCCCACAATTTGTATTAATATTCAGACTTGGTCTTGGAGTTGATCTTGGACTTGGTCCTAGATCCGGACCCAATCTCAGATTCAGACTTTACAAACTTCAATTGTGCTCATTTGAAGTTGTCTTGATGAACTCATCTGTATCTTGCATTAATCCAGTTATCTTGCAATGTCTGCCACACACGAATAGTGTCTCTGATAAATCCATAATATCCAAATTTGCATTATGCTTATCTTATGCATCTTAGGATGATCACACAAGAGTGGTAGTGCTTGGGATTCTAGGAGAGAAAAGGAAAGTGAGAGAAAGTGAGGGAATGTCTCTCACTTGAATTCTCATTGTTTTCTTTCACCCTCAATGTGAAGAAGTAATTGTGTCTTACAACACCCTAAAACACATAGACTCTTTTGACTGACTTAATAGTTTTCCTCCTCAGAAAGGAAAACTAAGAAAGAGCTTCATGACACTGATCCCACAGGTACCAGGAAGGAGCAACAATAGAGAAGAGTGTGATATGCAAGAGACACTGTCTTTAAACTGAAAGGTGAAATACAAAGCAACTTACACAAGACCAAGAAAAATCAAAGGCAGGATCCCCCTTCTTCACTGACTTTTTTCCAAGCCATCCCTACTCACTCCCTTAGTCTTGCACGAAACACTGGAGGATTTCATGTCAGGAGCTGTAATCCGGAGGGATACTTTTCTGTTCTCATATGTCCCCTTGACCTGTCAAAATTAAGTTTAACAGTTCCCGAGCATTGGAACTTGTTTTCCAGTATTTCCTCCATACCAAGTGCTTTTCCATACTTTCTTCCTCCCCTAAGTCCACATGTATGTCTAGCGTATCATGTGTGCAGATCCTCCTCAACCCAGTTGAATTGGGTCCTCATCAGCTTGATTGCAAGCCATCCGCGAAGAAGATGATCCTGCTCCTAGCAACACAACACTGTTATTTACCTTTTTGCTAAACTCACTTAAGCTGTCTGGAGCTCAAGCAAGCGTCCAGCACTCCGGAGTAAGCATACATGTTTGGTTTGGTTTCCATCTTTCGAAACATTTCCAGGGTGGTCTTTCCATCTCCGTGCTCCGAATAGGCCGTGATGATAGCTCCCCAGGCAACGATATCTTTGCGCACCATCACGTCGAAGGCTTTGCGCACCATCCTCAACGCTGCCACACTTGGCATACATGTCCACCAAGCCAGTCGTGACGATGCTGCTGTTGCCGAAAGATGGTGCCTTTGCTCCGGTGGAAGATGCAACGATTAAGTGCGAGTGAATCGCCCGTCCCTCCTCGAGCGCGTCAGTTCCGAGCGCTCCACAGGCACCCAGAGCGATTGAGAAGATGAAGTCGTCCGGCTCCATTCTATCGTCCTTCATCTCCTGATAGGCATCGAGAGCGTCCCGGAAGAGCCCGTTCTGGAAGTAGGCGATGAGAATTGTCCAAGAGAAGACGTTCGTGGTGACTATCCGGTCGAAGGCACTTCGGGCTCGATCGAGCTCGCCGCATTTGCCATACATCTGGACGAGCAAATTCCCGAGAAACGTATCGCCATCGTAGCCGCGGGACTTGAGGAGGAAGTGGAGCCTCTTGCCTTCCCAGAGGTTCTGGCTGCTCCCGCATCTTCGCAAGGCCTCGGCGTAGCATTTGGTGGTGTCGCTGCTGCAGCGCAAACTTGGACTAGAACCCACTACAGCAACATCGCTGGCGAGGGAGCTGGAGCTCCAGACAGCGTCCATTCATTCCATCACAAACTTCTCCGCAAGCAATAGGTAAGGTTCTTTTGTGATTTAAAATCCACTGAAGTTCTGATTCTTTCTCTTGACATTCAGGATTGACAGCATCGCAATCAAGTCCCATTTTCATGGAACATACCGAAACACCAAGATGAAGGAATGATGGCAACCTATCAGCCAGGCAAGAAACTTCTCAAACTTCCAAACTTTCGTTTCAAAGAAACTTCTTGAAAGAGCCAACTTTGCAGTTCTAGCTGCAATCGCTAAGCTATTGCTGCGTACTATCGAAGCCTATAGGAGTCGTTGTCCTCGAAACTCTCCCCGCAGAGCTCTCTCAGCAAGATGATCTCAACAAAGCTCACGAACGACGAGGCTATGAGCTTTGTTGATGCTCATGAAATGTTCTCCTCAAGATCATCCACGAGCTGCCCAAGCACAATCTGATTCCTGCTCAACCGCTGCAGCGATTCCCGCAGAATCAACTTATCCTCGTGCTTCAGGCAGAAGGCTAAGGTCCTGTTCGTGAACTCAATCTCGCAGCCTAATCTCATCACCAGCCGCTTCATCATATCCAGATCTTGCACAACCACAAAAGTCCCCTAAGCAACATACTGCTTCTCCAGATCCACAAGCCGATGCTTCCGCCTCCTGCTAAGACGTAATTGATCGGAAGCGTAAACACTTTATTCCACGATGAGTGCAGCCACCGCAAGAAATGCAGCCAAATCTGCATCGTCGTTGGCTTTGTCCATAACCCCGTTGAACTCTTCGCTCGACACCATGACGCTGTGACCTGGTGCATTAACATTCTGTGACAATTCATTGTTTGTTCACTATAAGCGATCTAATGTTTCAGGTTTGGTTCAACAAAAAATACATCTAGACCATTCTATAAATGCTTTAGTATTTAGCTGTCTTAATCCCGCTCGTAAATTGGTTCTTAATGGTAACCTATATTATCTAAACAAATTTGACAACAATCGCCAAAGTTCCAAGATCGGCTTGCTCTTCTATAGTGGAAATGTTATCTATCTGCAAGTAAACAGATTCAACACCTGTTGAGAAATAATAAACAAACAAACCTCTAGTTCCCCCGCGTTCCATGAGGTTTGTACACGAGAGAAAATGTCAGATATGAGCAGCACCTCATCACGATTTAGATGTCCCTGTAGAAAACAATTGAGCTTCAAGAACAACATCAAGAACAAATTCTTACCCATTGCAGAGTTGCATAGCTCTCACAAGAACTTGAAAACTCCTGTAAACACCATCTTCAGACCTCTACTAATTGGACAGAGAAGTCCTTACCTTTAAGCTCCTCTGTCCAGCAACAGCAACCGACATCGCCCCTGGCCCAGCAACAGCCACCTTCCCGCTTTCATATATGGCTACCAGAGTTGTGTAAAGATGAGGAAGCCAATCATTTTCCTGAACAGATACAAGTTAGCCGAATGCACATTTCAACATACGTTACCTTGACTGTACTTATGGGATCAGGGTCTAATGGCAAAGGATCCATTAGGTGTAAATCTCCTAGAAAAGCTTAAGAATCCATTATAGAATATGGTGCTAGATCTCAAATGAACTCATTTTCTCATTTTGAGCTTTTTACTCATGAGTTCTACACATTCCCCAAGCTTCTCACTATCAATTTCAACTACTAAAAGCCATCTCCTAGATCAAGATTTTACATTTGAGGAGGCCTAATCTCCTAAATTTAGACTTCTTGAAAATTCATTTAGATTAGTGTTATTTAAACTTGAGGATGCTTAACCTTTAATATATTTGTCTCTAATGTGTATATCTTCCACCACCTGGTTCATATGTTTAGTCTACCTATCCGTTTAAGGATGATTATTATATGATAGAGTTATAAACATGGTTTTGTCATCATTTGAGTAAAGTGGTCAATGAGTTTGGGTAGTTAGTTGAGCATGATCATTAATCAAGTAAATATAATTGATGCATTCCTTGAGTATGAACTCAAAATGCCTAAAACTTGTGTTGAATGCCTTCTTGGAGATACACATGTCATCCTTTGCAATCTGATGATCCATTCTTTAAATCAATCTTGGTAAATATTTGGGTATCAAGTTTTATTATGATTATAAATAAACTTTTAAGAGCAGTAAATCATAACTATTGATTTAAAAAAATCATAAAATATACCTAGATATTCTTGCTTTATCCTTTACACCTTATAAGAAATATATGTTTCTATTTGTATAAAAGTATTATAGATTTTAAAATTTTAATTTTTTTACTTAAACTATATTACTATCCTAAATTAAAATGATAATTAATTAATTTAATTATCTAATTTATCAAGAAAAGGCTCAACAATTTAAACTAAAATTATATTAATCCTTAAGAAATTTACAAATCTACCTATGTAGTAAAGTAAGATATTAGAGTGAATAATAAAAGATTGATTAGGATAATTTATAAAATCAAATTCCTTTTTTATAAAATAATGTATTTAGGATGAAAATATTTGACAAGTAAATGTGTAAGTTACAAAGTTTTCCTTTCCAATTTGCTAGCTTACCTCATCTATCCAACCACCACAACCTTGGCCTTAGTTAAGTTCCTTCGCTAAGGTTCCCGCCTAATGTACTAACTCCTACTTAGTCCTACTTAGTTTTAGTAACTCACTACACGAGCAATAGAGTGTTAGCCATCCATCCACGGATTCCCAAATTCTCTCTTAATCCCCCTCTCTGAGTTAGATTTAACTTAAAGTTCATCTACACTCCCCGAAGGCACAAACAGCCAAGCACACCAAGCTTTTAAATTTTTAACATCCCTTGGTACAACAAAACTTAATCATAGGACATTTTAAATCCCAAACCTTAGGTGCAATACTTGTTTTGGGACACCAAGGGGAAACACCATGGCCTAATAACCTAATATGGGTACCCTTACTCCCCCACTTCCATCCCGAACAGAAGGCCCAAGGACCAATGAGTTGCAAAGTATTTAAATGGGACACCACTTCACATGAGCCGGGAGCATTACAGTTGGTTTCCCTTCCGAAAGTAAGAGTTACTTTTGAACACTTCCTTGGGTGGCCCCTCCAGCACCACCCAAGTCAGTGAGCAACTCCAAAGAGTGAGACATGGTAACTCTTTCCTGGATGCAACGTTTAGCCAAAGCAGCACCATCACTTGCAATCTCCATGGCAGTCCTGCCACCAGCAACCGAAATATCTGCTTTTTTTGCCAGTTCTCGAATGATTCCTGTGTTGGCATCGCAAATATCCTGACGGAGCTGTGCAATGCTGACTGTTTCATCGCTGATCTTCTTGAGCAGATCACCAGATTTCTGTGTCATTGCATCATTCCAGGCATGGTTGCGAGCAATTGACAAAACTGTCAAATACAGAAAATGATTCAGAAGAGAGCTTACCTTCTTCCTCGTTGCCCGATTGCAACGCAACGCAATCATGCCGAGAACAAGCCAGCAGCAATGCCAGAACACTGAACGAAAGTGATTCCACATGATCATTTTGTTTTCTAGCTTCAAAACATACCATTTGCTGTCAGGCCCTCTTTAATTAGGGTTAGGGTTAGGAGCGATGGCGATGGTAATCGGGCGGTCCAAGACATTTTCCGTTGCGCGAAAGGCTGTGAGAGCATTCCAGGATCCGAAGACGGGTGTCAATTGTGTTCAGCGGGATAACAACCCAACAATGGCTTCTCATGTATGTACTGTGATTATGCGATTATCTGTTTGTATCAATTCCTTTCAGACTTTCATGGCGAGCACAGAGATTAAGGGAGAGCCAGTGACAATCATACTTTCTCACGTTTACAGCGGTGATCACTCGAGTATGTTGTTTTCCTTCGATTTTTTTTGAAGCTTATACTTGCTTACAGAGGTTCTGCGGCTTTGTGATTTCCGGCTTGCTTCCTTCAAGAGGCACCTCCATCAGCTTGCCAATGGGATAAATATCAACAGTGTGATGAGCCTCTACTCCAAGTAAGCTTTTCATTCAAGATGCTGCTTTGTATCTTCAGTTTCTGCAGTGTGGAGAAGGAGCTCCGTGAGCATGTTACAAGGGACATGCCGGAGAGAGAGGCGTATTGCAAGACACTAGACATTGATCCTGAAATAGATATAACTAACTATTCTAGGAGTTTTTTTTGGTTTCTGCATCTACCTACCCAGAAGTAAAAGTTGGATTATGGAATAATCAAGGTTGCCTTCTTGTAAAACATCTTAAGCTCACAATACTCCCCTAGGGTAATGATTTCTGTGAAGATCTTCTCCAGCTGTTCAGTTCAGAGGCCCAAAGGATGGATCAGGTTGAAGAAATCATCCAAACAGCTCTCCTATAGAAAAATTCCATCTATACTTTCAATTTCATATTGTGTTATAAGAATCAGGTACAATGAATTTAAGACTTATTAAGTTATGTCTCTTAATTTCCATACAAATTCCGCTAAATTATTGGAATTATTTGTTCTTTTCAACTCATAATTTTAATTTTGATCCTTCAGTTTATTCCTCATTCAAAGAAAGAATTACCAGAGACAAGGGAAATATTAGCTCTGGATTTCTTTTAAGATATAAGCAAAACGTTGCATGGTCCATCCGGTCGGTTTGTTTACAAAATTGATCCACAAGCACCTGCAGTGTTAAAATGAATCTAAATGATGCTGCAGTGTATGAAAGCCACCTTGCTTGTAGATCCAGCACAATTCCTCTCCAAAAGTGTGGCAACCTTTCAAGAAAGAACACAAGATTTAAAGCAAAAGTGTGAGACAAAAAAGCTTACCTTGTCCATGAGAAGCATTTCGTCGCTGTTCTTGTGGACCGCATGGCAAAACGTCAAATCCAGCAGCTTCAAAAAGCTTGCATTTCTGGACAAAGATACTGATGCGGCCACAAACTGCATCAATCAGCCAGTGTTGGGAGCAAACCAGTAGTGACAATGCTTACCTCTTGGAAGGTGACGAATTCATGCTTTTTCCTGTCAAACATCGCAAAAGCCTGTGAATTTCTGATGTGAGTAGCCAGTTTTCTTAAGACATATCGATCTTCGCTTCTTACCTGCTCTCCGAATGGAGAATGTGTAAGTCCCAGGCTTTGCAAGAACTCAAACCTCGTCAGTTGCCCACTACATGAGTAGAAGAGGATTATGTGAACAGGAAAAGAGCAGGTTGATAGATTTACCTGCGAGATGAATTCATGATTGAGAATTTCTCCAAATAGTAGAGTGCGTCGGCGTCTGTAAGCTGGAGTTGCTACGAGAAAACTTGGGAGGTCAGGCCTGAGATCTCTGAGAACAACTCTGTAAGAAAGGACTCGATGCCGATAACTTACCGTGTCCATTTTTCTCATTTCAAGTGTGAACGAGGTTGAAAAAGGCTAAAGAAAGAGCAAACTAAATAAACTCACAAGATTCAAGGACGTACCATTTTCAGCGACAACGATCTTGCAGAAAGGAGTAAATCACCATAACTGTGTTCCGTTTCCGGAACGTTGAGGCTCCTTGCCATTGCATATCTCACCTGAAAATCAAAAGAATGATAAGTATGAGTATTAGTTTCAAGCACGTTTACCCTTTGTGCATAATCCGCTGGATGGGACTTTTCATGCGACGAGGGATATATAACAGGAAGATAATGAACCTGCTTGCCCACAAAATGGTTTTTTAAGCTTAGACAAAAATTCGTCTGACCTGCATAAAATTGTGAAATTGAAGCAGCATCCGAGGGATCAAGCTTTTCAGAGAGATGTTGCCCCTGTGAAGCAAATGGATGAGAGGCTATCAAGTTGGTGTTTCAAGCACATACCAGGATAGATCAAAATGAACGTGCGGGTACTTAACCACAACAGGTTGTATTGGAAATCCAGGAACGAAGGCACCGGGCTTAAACGATATCAGAGCCTTTCCATTTGTTGTAGTAGCCTCGGGAAATAAAAGAAGACGAGGAAAATCGCTACACATCGCTCTTCTCTGCATGAGCATCCATAAAATGTAGTGTTACATCCAGCCAAAGAGAAAATACTTTACCTTGATTTCCGCGATGGCGCTTTTCCTTGAAGCTGGAGATAACCTATCCACGGGAATCACCTGAACACACCAAACTGTGATTTCATTTATCAGATCGAAAGTGGCACCTAATACCTGCATTGATCTTATTATGGTGCCGACGAAAAGACGATCATTGTGTGAACTCGAGCTCACGATGGTCGGGAAGAGTTCGAAGAAGTAGAACATAGGATCGATGAACGATACATGGTTTGACACCAGGATGGGAGCGACTTCTCTGGGAGCAGGCCTTCCAATGCGCTGAATCCAATGGAACCTGGATAAACCAGAACAAAAGTGTGAGAACAAGAAGATCGACAGAAGAACTAGAAGAAGAAAGGAAAGACAGGCAAAGAAATAGTAGAAGAAAAGCTTACGCACCCAAAGCAGAAGAGTATACCTCGAGCGCAAACTCGAGTGCCCCACATTATATCTCGTCTCCATCGCGGCATGGCCTTGTGGTCACTCTCCCAGCGCCATAGCGCCAGCTTCGTGCACAGGAATCCCAGGAACAAGAAAACTCCAATGAGAATGACTCTCACCACCAGCAGCGGCGAGCACAGCACCGCCTTGAAGACCTCCCAGGCTCCACCAAACTTGTAGCTACTGTTCCGGAAAGGATCCACGGGCGAGCTGGCCGGCAGTGGAGGCAAGTCCTTGAATTCCCAGGCGCTCCACCACTTTACCTTGGAATTGGGCGAAGAGATAGCGCTCCTCCCAGAGTCTTGGACGTCGACCACACACATGTCGGTGGAATTGCTTCCTCCTCAAATCTAGAGCTGCTAAGACAGCCAAGCTTGCATTGACGCTGTCATGGTCGTGGAG